CTCTAAAACAAACAAAAAACCAAAAAAAAATAGAAAAATAATTTTTTTTCTAAGCACGTGAAGACAAAGTCCAGATCAATGATTCATTTCCCATGTGTCCCTGTCACCTTGGCCACTGTGTGGCCCAGGCCGATTCCCATGCCCAGCTGAGGGGGCTGTCTCCCCAAAGAGCGCGTATCACCAGTGTAATGTGTGCGTCACGGCTGCTGGACAAACAGCCGCGCCCACGTTCAGAACAGCGTGAGGTCCTTCACCTTTGGGTTGGGGTGCCGGCCGATGACAAGGCGAACGGGTCCCGGGGGGCACTTGCTCAGGATGGCGTGGACTTTGCTCAGGGCGGCGTGGCGCACGTTGACCGAGTTCACCTCCAGGATTTGATCTCCGCGGCTGGGGGCAGCACAATCGACACGGTGCATCAGTCAGCTTCTTACAAGACTGCCTTCCGGGAGGGGTTACAACAAGGAAGCTTTTCCCAATACTTTAAAGAGGTATTTCAGCTTCGCATATGTGCAAAGGAGCAACACATTCATAGAAACACATCGGATTTTAGATTGGCGAAAGCACTATGCTTATCTACCCGCATAAAATAGATAAAAGGGCAGCAACGCAGGCTGCCCCTTCCAGAGCACGTGGTGTATGCCAGGCACCACACAATGCCATCCACACAACGGTGCCCGAGAGGGTATCATTACCCCCCTTCTGCAGAGAAGGCCACAGGCTCAGAGAGGTCACCCAGAGGTCACACACTGCTGAACTCAGGTCTGTCTACCTCTCCGTCACCACGGGAGAGCCCCTCGACCACCATCTATTTCTTTTTTTCCTACCATCTTGAAATGATTATTGTAATATAATTTAAGGAGGAAATATCTGAAGCTCAAAGGTTACCCAAGAATTTGTAAAAACGTTTCAAATTTGAACAAATGAGAAATTGAGGACAAGATGCCCATTTTTGACTTGAAATTATAGGGAGAGAACTCAGTGCGAGAGAACAAAGACTCTTTATATGGGGCTTGAAGAATGTTCATTTGGCAGGCTCCAGACATATGGAACCATTCAAAAAAGAAACATCATCTTGGGATGTCATTAAAGGATTTTTTTTCCTTGGGTTCTAAAAGTATATTTTCTTTAATGTACTTTGGATGATTTGCTAAAAATTTTTTTTCATATGGAAATTCACTCTGATGATTAACTAAAAACATAATATAATCTATTAACAGGGCCCCAAGATGGCAACCTCAAGGAATGTCATTTTGACAATTCCTCAACTGCTCAAGGACTTAGAAGCTTAGTGGGGAGAAAGGTGATACTGTTTGCACAGAGTGCTTTGTGCAAGACGTGTACATTCTTGTGAGGTTTAGGTGGGCACAGAACCATCGCAACTACCATATAACAGAACACCTAGGCATGTCTTGTATAAACAAAATACCCATGCTACAACCCAGCTAGTGGATTCAGAAATGAGACACGCAGTGACTTCAGACAGTAGGCATCTGGACATCGCCGCTCAAAAAGGAATGGCACAACTTAATAATAAGGCACCCCCATTCGAGGGCGTGATTTGAGGACTCTCTTGCAACCAGTGACCCTGAACCACTTTGAGCATTTCCCAGCATCTCAAGTGAATCTTACAGAACTGAATGTAAAAGTGAAAGAAAATATTTAGATAGTCATAGTTATCTGTATAGAGCTGCGTTTTGTCATTTCTGAAACTGAACTTCTGTTGTCCAAAAAGGAAAAGCCAAGATCCAGAATTCTCCGATTCAACCGAATTTCTTTATATTAGCTTTTCATCTCTGGAGATGCTATTAATTATAATCCTGGCTATATTTCTGCAAATAAGACAAAGATTAAGACTCGCACAAAGGAATGTGATAGGGCGGGTATCTTACATGGGCATGGACTCAGAGAGTCATGAACACGCCGGCCCCGCACGGGGTTTGCACGCACCTCAGGTTGCTCTCCATCTTGGCCACGGACCCCGGGGCGAGGCTGTGAATGTAGATGCCCGGAGGGCTGTTCTCCAGGGCCAGGCAGCAGGCGCCAATGCCCAGTCCAACTCTGGGCTCTGCGAGAGGCACCGTTCACAGAAAACAAACACAAAAAGCAAGCATGAGTGATCTGAAGCTGCATGAATGGATATTCGGACCAATAGCCATTTATTTTTAACCAGGCTCAAAAAGTAAATCCTGCTCTTCTCTGTCCACATTGCCACGATCTGGTCACGAAACGAGTCCACGGCAGAACCACGGCTAACACTGGACTGTAAATTATTCAGTGATCTACTCTGCTTACCCTAAAGAGCCTCTCAAATCTATTTTTTGGAAATAGGCAGAGTTGAAGTAATAAATTTTATTCTGGATGTGCAACTTTAGGTTTTCTTTTCCCTCTTGTTTTAGCATCTAATCTCTTGATTATTTAATTGTGCCTCATATTTCTACAGTAGGTGGGGAAAGAAAACTCAGGTGAAAAGCAGTAAGATTTGGTGATTACCCATGAGTTAGTTACTGTTGTTAACTAACTGTAATCTTTTGTTCTTTAAAACTTTATATTAGCGCTAGAATAAAGCTGGTTAGTGGTTTTTTTAAACACGAGTCTCAGACACACAGTGATTTATCTGGGGAGAGCTTAAAGGACTGTGGACTACTGGTAACTTCCCTTTGCTTTAGTAAAATGACTAAAATCTACACCTTTGATCCCACTGTGCACTTAAAGAATACCACATGTAGTTGGAAGCAGATCGTTCCAAAGGAATGGTTCAGAGAAAAACTATAAAAAGTTAACCTAAGAACAAATAACACATTGCTATTTGAGAGCACGTAACGAAAGTGAGGGCAGCTGGTATCACCTTTGTTGAGCGTTACTTCCATGACAATTCTGTCCTTGGGCCCAGGGGCCTTCCGACCCAGGGATGAGGAGTTGCTTTCGTCGGAGCCTACCGCCGAGGTTCCCCCGCTGGCGTTGAAGTTTGGGGAGCTGGACCTGCTCATGTGCGTGGGCGTTGAGCAGGGGGTGAGGCTTGGGCTCAATAACTTTGTGCGTACCGTTAACACAAATAATCCACTACGGATTTGCTGAGAAAACAAGAAGAAAGTGGAGCTAAGACATTCAGACTGTCCCTACGTCAAAAGGTGAAAAACATAAGCAAATGATGGAGATCAGTAAGAATGTCGTTACCTTAAAGGTATGAATGGCCTCTTGGAACGTCAAGCCCTTTATTGGTATCCCATTGACATCTAGGATTTCGTCCCCTAGTGACCAAACAGGAGAATTACATTAACACTGGGCCTTGGGCCCGGCCGGGCGTGGCTCAGCGGTTGAGCTTCGACCTAGGATCCACGCGATCGGGGTTCGATTCCCGGTCAGGGCACATGCCCGGTTGCGGCTTGATCAATGACTCTCTCATCATTGATGTTTCTATCTCTCTCTCCCTCTCCTTTCCTCTCTCTGAAATCAATAAAGATTTATTAAAAATAAACAAACAAATAAATAAATAAATAAACAAACAAACACACACTGGGCCTTGGAGTCACTGCTCCTGGAGGGGGGAAACCAAGCAGGCTGCTATAGTCCACACAATCCAGGACGGAGTCCTGAGCCTCTGGGGAGGAAAACGGTGATCCAAAGGAGGGAACACATTCAACAGACACTACAGCAGAGGAAGCAAAAGGGGGATGGGAGTTTTAATTTATAGGCATCTAACTGCTTAGTAGGTATGAGAACTGGATACCATGTGGTCCCTGATTTACCGCTCTATAAAATGAATTTTATTGTTCCAATCCACTGTCCTTAGCTTAGCTCCCAGGAATGTCACAAAGTGGGAAAATCAATGCATATTCTTTTGCAGTAATTCTGTATTTCCACCTTTAATTAAAACAACTATGGGAAGCATCAAGGTCTTATTCTTTAGCTATTGCCAAGTTTAATAACAGATGTCCTATGTTTAGAGATCAAACTGCAAAAACTGAGTCCCAAGTCTTTCCTCATGGTCTTTGTTTAAAAACTTAAACCCACACACAGGCAACGAAGCATGAACACACACCCCATGTGAGCAGCCACTCCCAGCTTTGCAGAAAGACAAGCGCCTGAGCCTGGAGAATCATCACAGAGCCGGGAAAATGGTTTCAATAACAGAGACAAAAAAAATCTTGTGAGAGATTGTTTAGGAATGGCGGCCCCACCTCTAGAAATAGTCTAGATGCCTGGTCTTATTGGTGCTGCTCCAGATTCTCAGTCACGGAGCTGGCACGTTACTCTGCGCTTCTAGGTAAGAAATTACTGTAGGCTAATGTTGAATGGCACATACATTCTCCCTTCCTCCCTGCCCCCCTGTGCCCCCATCTGGACTCATCTCCAACCCCAAGAAGGTATAGTTAGGTCATTTTTCAAGCTGTTGATAGTGTCTGCTGGGAATAGAAAAGAACTTCGACATCCTGTTGACTTACCAGAGTTTGTTTCTAGTTTGTACTCTGGTAACACGGTCTGTTTTTTAAAATAACGGTTCATCAGAAACACTACAGAGGGGCCCCGAGAGAAGAGCAGATGGACCTCGCACAGCAGCGCAGGACCGAAGAGGGACCTCTCCTACCTCTAACAGTGCAAAGCAGCGTGAGATCTTGGTTTCCCCTCCCGTGGACGGCCCATCCCAGGGGCACACTGTGCACTTGAGCAAGGAATCCTGTACATGAGTTTACAAATGTAGTGGCTTCCCATGCATTTGTTATGTGCCTTCCCTTTTACACAATTATAGAAGTTGTAAAATACGTGAATGAATCTGTTTAAAAATCACCTGCAAAACTGATTGCTCAACCTGGTGAGGTTTTGGGTTTGTTTCCACACAGGAAAACGATGGAAACACGAATATGATTGCTCATGCTCTTAAAAATCTTTATCCAAGATTTTAAAAAGACCATTCAACAGGTTGAAAATTCATTTCAATGACTTGTCTTTATTGTAAATGAATACAGATAAAAAAAAGTATTAGAAAGAATCGAGTGCTATTAACCTTTCCTAACTACTGACTTTTCCCTCCAGGTTGCTCCATTCCACCAGCACTGCAGGAAGAATTTCAGCAAGTGAGCACAGGGCACATCCATTACGAAAACGCTCTGCTGCTAGAACTTCACGCTGCTCTGTACACAGACACAAACGCCACCTGGGAGCCAACCCTTCCTCCAAGAGACAGAAATAAATACTCTGCCATCAAAATATTAAGCCTGGTCACGTCTCGCCATTAGCATACAGGCTTCTAGGGTCACTCTGCCTGAAAAAGGAGACTCCAATTTACTCTACCAGTTAATGAAACAAAACAAAACAGAACAACAGTTTAACACAGCAGCACCGATACTTTGGGCCAAGTGAAAGGAACAGTCACACCAGTTTTGAAGGTAACTAGAAATATTGTGATTCTATCATTTCGTGAAGGAAGTATATTAACAAAAAGGAAAAAAATCAGAATTCATGAATAAGTTCTGGGGATCTAATGTACACCATGGTGACTACGATTAACCATATTATATTATATTCTTGAAATGCATTAAGAAAGTAGATCTTAAAAGGTGTCACCATACACATACAGAACAGGTGATGTGAGGTGATGGGGGTGTTAACTAACTGGACTGTGGTAATCATTTCACAATATATGTGTATCAAGTCATCATGTCGTACACCTTAAACTTACACAATGTTATCTATCACTTATCTCTCCATAAAATGGAGTGTAGGGGGAAGCACCTGATTAGTATGTTTGTGTGTGGCAAAAAGGTAGGTGCTATGGAGAATGTAAAAGATGTCTATGTATCCAGCCCCAAGGCAAGAATGGACCACAGACTCACAGGAATTTTCAAGGCCAGGAACCCGATCAAGGACCAAGGGAATAAGGTAGATATTTAACGACCTGAATAAAAATAGCAAGCCACTTTTCACATATTATCTCATGTAATCCTCACAACTCTTCAAGGTTCATATTACTTCCCCATACCTGCAACTGAGGAAAGTGAAGCTCAGGTTACAGTTGTCCAAGGCCATGATGTGGTAAGTGCTGGATTCAGCCCAGGTCTACCTAACTCCCCAGCCCGCAGCCTCAGTCGCTGTGCATTCACTCCACGTCTTGCAAAGGGGCAGATTCCCATGGAATCAGAGCTCACCCCACTGAGGACCACCAAGCCTACCTTCTTTAAGTCTTCCGTCCTCGGCGGCTGACCCATTTGGGAAAATAGTCTTGACAAAAATCCCCATCTGTCCTCGAATGCAGTCGCGACCTCCAGCAATGCTAAAGCCAAGGCCCTACACCCAAAGCAGACGGAGGGACAGGTTGGCACTGCAGCATTTCACTGAGGGCATCCTTCCCATTGTGGTCCTCAACTGAGGTGCCCTCCCCAGTCACCTCGTAGTGAAGCCACCCAGCTATAAATTCAAGTTTGTGTTCCCTTCCTTGCCCCTACCCCAATATATATTCACATTGTGCTAGCTCTGCATCCCATTAAAGGGAGAAAAGTTTTAGGTCGAAACATAGGAAACTGCCAATATTTGACAATCGTTGATCTCCAAAAATGGCAATTTCACAAGGATTAACTAGTAGCTCAGGGAGTCATTTCCACTATCCAGGTGCCATGTTCGTTTCATCCTTTTGTTTCAGTCTTTTCATTTTCTGTAATATCAAACGAATACTTTGATATTTGTATAATCAAGCTACATGCATCATCCTTTTTATGATACTATCAATATCATGAAATCCATTCAAAGGGTGAACCGGGAGTATCCCCGAAGCTGCAGGGTCTGCTTTCCTCTCAATAGTGGTGAAAGCGGGGCGTTCACTTCAGTTCTGCCCTCAAGGCCAAGTGCTGCGACTCCTTAAATCAGAGGGCAAAGGTGTGAGCATCTCACTCAGAGGCCCACAGGCAAGGACGCCCGGAATCCACTCGGATACACGCCAGGGCCACACGAGCTCTTCCTCTTTAAGCATCTTTAAGTTTCATATAAAAACAACACTAATAAAAAGTGGCCATTTAAAAATCTATGCCAACATTCGCCTGGAGGGCAAACAGCGGGCAGAAAAGCACTCACCTTGCCTTTTTCTTTGTACAGCCCGATGATGGAGATGACCGACGGCCGGATGAGCCTCCACGGAGACTCCACCTGCGTGGTGCTGAGGGAGCGGGTGGATTTCTTCACGATGTGGTACTCCTGCAAGGCGGCACACGGCAGTCAGAGCGCCGGCTACCCTTCCGTGGCCTCCGGCATCCGATAGATTCAGGTTTTGAACACCTCAGCTGTCTTTTGAGTTAGATAGCCATTCCCCCCTGGTTTAGCGGCTTAAAGAAAGCTTATTATAAATAACACCAGAGGGCCCTGGCTGGGTGGCTCAGTTGGCTGGAGCGTCGGCCCATGCACCCAAAGGCTGTGGGTTCAATCCCCGGGCGAGGCATGTACAGGAGGCAACTGATAGATGTTTCTCTCTCACATCGATGTTTCTCTCTCTCTCTCAAGACATCAATAAAAATATATCCTCAGGCAAGGATTACAAAGTAATAATAATTAAAAAATAAAGACATAAAATAAAATGCTTTCAATGACACCAGAGGAATAGCCTCTTCTGCAATAAATTGCCACGCCTTCTTCCTCCGCAGAAAGAACGGCCTGGAGGCTGCAGACATCAGGAGTTCTTTCCTCAACTGTGCTCCATGGACCCTGCTTTCTGTTTTCTGGAATTGAGTCAGGAACCAGAAACCCAGAGGCCTCGGAGACGTAGCATGACCACCCTGGGGTCAGGGTCTCCCTTGGAAGTCACCCCCTACCCCCACCCCAAGTTCATGCCCATGGTTAGAAAGCATTCGTCATTTTAAGCTTAATTCACTCACTCAAAAACTTAGTAAGCCCTTGTTTCTTATAAAACCCAAACCGCAAACCCAGATGACTATTATTCTGCAAAAACATGCCGCTGAGAGACTGCCGCAGCTTCAGCTCTAATCCTTCACATTTGCACCATGAAATACTTTCCCCGTAAGCCACACTCTCCCTTCCTGGCACACAGCAGCGCAAATCTCCATCTCTGTACTGCCCATCACCCCCAGCACATACGTGTGTGAGCAGTGCACTCTATAGCCTAAACAGGAGATTCCATGCCATTCTTCTTATAATAAATGTCTTAAATGACAGGTATTTCAGCATAAGCAAAAAAAAAAAAAATATCACTTCATATTTAATATGAGAAAAGAGACATCAGAAATAGATTTTTCCTTAAAGAGGGTATTCCACACTCAAAGGTAGAAACGAGACGTCTGCTAATGATATTTTTGTATTCCTGGCAGCTTAGAACAATTATATTTTGCAGTTTTACAAAATATCTGCCAGCTATGTTGGCCTCCCAGACTCTAATGCAATAAAAAACCAATGTTGGCTTGGCAAGGTTACTCCCCTTTTACTGAAACCCCCGTGGAAACGGCCCGACACCGCCCGTGGGGTTCCAACCCTTGGGTACAGAGGCACATGTGCGGATGCGTAAGGGAACTCTCTCTGATCGCCCATCTCCAGCAGCACCTCATTCCATCACTCCTTTGGGAACCAGGGGCCTGCCTGCTTCCCTGTCCTCTGTTTCAGGGGTCCACCTGCACTTTCCAGACTTGTGCTGTCCATAATGGCAGCCACCAGCCACCTGTGGCTGCCTATATTCAAATTAGGATGAGTTAAAGTAAAAAATGCAGTCCTCAGTCTCACAGGCCACCTTTCACGCGCTCGGTAGACACCTGCGGCTACTGTCTGGGGCGGTACAGATATAAAACATTCCCATCGCTGCAGAAGGTTTTAGTGGGTAGCTCTACTCTGGACAACACCTTTTAGCGGAGGGAGAGAAAACAAGAAAAAAGGTGAACCCTGGGAGAGAAAAAAAGAACAGAAAATAAGAGAAGACGAGAGAAAGGGCAATTTAAAGAGGAAAGAATGTCTTTTCTCTAAAATCTTTACTAGCTGTGCTTCCTCGTTCCTGGGAGCCTGGTTAGAAATAGGTATTCCCAGGCTATAAGTACGGTAGAGTTTCCTCAGCAGGTCACCACCTCAGGGCCAGCCGCCCTTGGCAGCCAACACTCCCCTCCTGCCCTAACTGAACCAGCCCCACCACGTGGCCCTCCTGAGCTTGCTGAGCAGCTCACTCTGTCGGTCCAGCGGGGTCATTCTGAGCAGGTCACTGACTCGTCTCCAGTCTAGAGGACTTCACCAGGTCCCAAGCAAGTTTTTTGCTCTGTTTTCTCTTGATGCCTCAACTTGAGCTGCCTTTGGGTGGATTCAACACAAAATAGCCTAATCAGCAACTGCCTCTGAGATATGGGCACTTTTCATGTTACCGGTCAGGGAGAGCTTTCTTCACTGTGACTCTGGCCTATCACTTGGAGTGAAATCCTCACCTCTTTAAGATTCAGTTGCCCTATCTGTAAAATGGTGCCATCTGTAAAACGGTGACAACACAGCCAGGCTGGTGTGGCTCAGTGGCTGAGCATCGACCTATGAACCAAGAGGTCACTGGTTCGATTTCTGGTCTGGGTACATGCCAGGGTTGTAGGCTTGATCTCCAGTAGGGGGCATGCAGGAGGCAGCCAGTCGATGTTTCTCTCTCTCATCATTGATATTTCTATCTTTCTATCCATCCCCCTTCCTCTCTCTTGAGCCCTCCGGCTGATGGTGCCAGGACTCAACCCTCCACGAGTTCCCCAGAGACTGAGCTTGCCTCCAACTTGGTTATGAGACGTCTACCCAGTTTCACCTGGGTTGAGGATGATGTAATGGAACAGGAGTCCCCGTTCAGGGTTATGGAGCCCTAAACACTAATGGGGACAGGCCCTGGAATATTAACATCACCGCCCACGTCCCCCTCTCTGCAGCCCCCTCTGACCCTGCCTGTTTCAGTCATTACCACGTAACAGGCAGGATCTCAGGCACAGCATAGGCACACACACTCCCTTTCCTCTCTCACATGACCCAACACCACATACCCAGTTGTTAAACTGACACCTGATGTACCCACGAAACAAGTGATGGTGGTTCACCGGACAGTGAGGCACCATTGCCTCCCGGCAGTGGAAGGCAGCTCTCGGTTCCAAAGCCACCAGTAGGAAGCGGATCAAGATGTCAAGGTCCAACAAGGGATTCTTTTTCTCTGCTTTCAAATATTAGGCTGACCTCCTTCTAGCCTCCCCGGATAGGCCTCACTCTGTATAATATCTCTAGTCCCAAATATTCCTGGCTCACATAAATGGGTAGTTCCTTTCGGGACACAGAAGCTCTTGCTGGCCTTTGAAAGGATAAATGAAAGCCTGGAGACCCAGGGGTGGAAGCATGCTCTTCCATCCCTGACTGGTCAGCTGTGACTGCATGAGAAAGCAAGAGGCTCCATGGAACCAACTACCTGCGCTGTTCCCGAAGATTCCAGTAACTGGGGAAGAGAGTGCTTCCGGCCATCTCGGGACACCTCCAACATCCTGGCCCGGGGATCCCCGTTTCGCACCATCAGCTCATTATATTCTTCAACAGACTCTAGACGGTGTACACCCCCTGGAAAATATAGCGGGGAAAGACATGGCTTGATATGGGATGAAGAGAAGCTTAAGAGCATACATAGGCATAAACCTGCTGCATTTATACCCACACTTACGGTTTTCAGAAGGTCTGGTGGCCAATTCTTTCAAAGCACTGACCTCACCACATCCTACCATCAAGTTCTTCATAAGCTCAGTGTGTGTCAAAGCCATTAATGCCAGATTATGAAGAAAGTGTCAGTTTTTGAAGGGACCAGATAAGGGCAATGCATATATTTCATCCAAATATGATGTAGCCGTGGTTGATAAGGCAATAAACAGTGAGAATGCTCTCAGTAGACAGTTTTCTAGTGATGGAGGACTATCACTTTGTGGCTGGTTGGTATAGTTCCATCGTTGGGGCAGATGGGTGTTTTTCATGTATAAATAATGACTTTTAAAATAAACTTAAAAGAATTGTAACAACTTACAGAAATGTACACAAATAATAAGCATAGAGTTACATGAAATTTCACAAAGTGGATGTACCAATAACCAACACCCAAACCAAGAAATAGAATCTTGCCAGAACCTGAAAGCCCATTCTGTGCCACCAACCACCCCTCACCCAAGGGTAACCATTATCCCAAGTTCTAACATCATAGATTACTGTTGCCTATTTTCAACCTTCATATAAATGAACACATACGATATGTACTTTTGTGTGCGTCTGGCTCCTCACTCTTAGCATTTGTTTGTGAAATTCCATTATGTTGTTGCATGTCAACAGATTGTTCATCCCATTTTTGTATGCTTTCATTGTATAAGCACACCACAATTTATCTATTCTTTTGCTGATGGACATTGGGTTTGTTTCCAGTTTTAGTTCTAGAACAAGGGTCGGCAAACTTTTTTCTTTTGGTAAAGGCGAGACAGTCAATGTTTTAGGATTTATGGGCCACAAATGGTCTCTGTAGCATATTCTTTAAAAAAATCTTTTACAACCCACTAAAATTCTAGAAGGCATTTCAAGCTCATGGGCCGTACAAATATAGCTGTAGGCAGCAGTTACTGACTCCAATCTAGAATATGCTGTTATTGGACATTCTCATAGATGTCGTGTCTGGGGGATATAGATCTAGGAGTGGAGTTGCTGGGTTACAGGTATACACGCCCCTTTACCGATGTCGTATCACCAGTGTGCGTGAGTTCTGGTTTCTCCACATCTGTGTCGCACTTAGTGTTGTCAATCTTTTAAATTTTAGCCACTCTGATGGATACAAACAGGTATTTCATTGTGGTTTTAATCTACATTTCAGTGATGACTGATGAGCTTGAGCTTCCTTTAAAATACTCATTGGCTGTTTTTCTTTGGTAAAGGTGTAAAGTGCCTGTTTACATCTTTTGCTCATTCTTTTATTGGGTTTCTGTCTTTTGTGGTTGATTTATAGAATTTTAATATTTTTGGTAAATATATTTTGGATATTTGGATAGATGATGGAATCTATGTATTGTAAATATCTTCTCCATGTCTGTGACTTGCCTTTCACTCTCTTAATGTTACTTTTTGACGAGCAAAAGTTCATAATTTTAACATAGTACAATATATAGATTTCTCTCTTTTCGGTTAGTACTTTTGGGTCCTGTTTAAGAAATTTTTATAGGAATGATTTTTAAAGACACCCTTATCAGTGCCTCCTTTACATTATGTGCCCTTTAAAAATAAGGTAATTTAAGGGACTTTAATCTTAAATGATGTCTTAATTACATTGAATATAGTAGCTATAGTCACATTACATTGATAACACTATACACTGTATCAGTGACTTTCTACCTTCTTCACCTCATGGCACACATAAACTAATTACTAAAATTGTGCGGCACAACAAAAAATGTGTATTTTTTGCCGATCTGATAAAAAAAAAAAAAAAAGGTATAATTTTGATTCATTCACACTGGACGGCAATTCTTGTGTTGGCTGTTGTTATTTTTTTAATATGACGATCTAAGGGAAAAGAGGTCAGTGTCCCTGACTAGTTGGGTATTGCATGTTTTAAAAATTCTTACGGCACACTGGTTGAAAATCGCTGTACCATATATATGCACATATGCAGATACGTATGTCTGTGAGTATAGCTATACACACATACAGTCTTTGGAATCTCCAGCTCTCCTAGACCAGGTAATGCTTTATTTGATGACCTAAAATTTCAGTTTACCTAAAAGTGTTTCATGGGATAAAATGAGCTGATTCTGCACTCTTTTACAAATAATATATTGATGGATTTCTAATGGTGATGGAAAGACAGAATAGGGCTGATACAGTTATTTTAATGGACAAGGCTTGGTTTTTCAAAAGCTGAGTATTAACTTTGTTATACAGGTTTTCAAAAACCTGAAATTCCTTTGCAGTCAAAGAATATTTTCCATTTAAAAAGATCACAAGCCTAAGGTATGAACACGAATAAATAAAAAAATATTAAAAATTAAAAGGGAACCCTGCTGGCCAAAAAAGAAGGCGAGAAGTAATTAAAACTCAGGTTGGAATTTCAGAAAAAATGTTCCATGAAATCGCTTCAGTCATTTTTGGAGCCAGACTGGGCAAAAATCGTAGTGGAAATGGCTGGAACCTCTTTATAGAACCTCCTTAATAATTCATGACCAGATTAATCTCTCTTGGCATGCTTACTCATCTGAAAAGATTTATTAGAAGAAAATTCCTTTGGAGCCGACAGGGAGGCACTTGCCATCCACAGAGGAGAAACCACATACGGTAGTGTCTGTAGATAATATACTGACACGTGACCACCACACTGACTCACTTTAAGAAGCTATGAAATAAATACCCAAGTTTGCAGGACAGACAAATGAGCAGCTCATCACATTAAAACCTTCTGTATTCAAATGTCTGCGGCCTGAACATATTTCACAGCACTGAACACAGCCCCAGCTCCTTAAGCCTCTTTAACAGGTCTCCAAATTGCTTTTCCAGTCTTATCTCCCACTGCTCGGCTACATGAACTCACGGCTCTAGCCTGCTGACTCTCAAAGGAGAGGATCTGTCCAAAGCCGGCATCCTTTCCAAAACCGGGGAGCACATAAACACCGCTCGACGTTTCACCCAACCTCGCCGGCACCTCCCACCCCAGGCGTCTCCTTTCCCCTAATCGCTCCGACACGCTCTGCTGGACGGCGTCGCCGTCGCTGATGAATTACTGGCTCCTGCAGACGGGTGGGGAGGAACAGTTACCCCGAACTACTCTAACCAGCAGCCCCCGCTGTCCCGAAGCGTGTCTCGTGCGTTTTTCTCACGTCTGGGCCGCTGTTTTCCTTTGCTTCTGTCCTACGAAGCCCTGCGGAGGCCCCGGCCCTCCTCGCATCCTCTGAAGGCCGCCCCGAGCGCCGCAGCCCAGAGCCACCCTCCCTGTCCGAACCCACCGAAGCACCCTGCCCTCCTGAGAGGGAAAGAGCAGAGAACAGTGACCATGCCGAGGACTATGAGATAGTAATGGCAACGCGGGTGGGAACAGCGGCAGCTACCCCCCGTGAGCGCCCATTGCTGCCGCCCTCCTGCTGGCACCGCCCGGTGCCCTCCCTCGGCTCCGTCTCGCCACGAGGCCCGGCGCTGAGAAGGCGCTCACACTGACCGGCAGAGTAAAGGGAGAAACGGAGAGCCAGAGGGGGGAAGCCCCTCGTCCCCGGCCACACAGCAGCAGTGGCCGAGCTGGGCAGCGCTTCTTTCACAGGTCTACGTGTCCTCGTCATGGCCCTGGGTGTCCGGGAAGGACACGGGGAGAGAGGGTGGCGTCCATTTGTGGCAAACAGTAGCCAGCCCTGGATTTACCACTGGAGGAATGTGCTGCTCATTCTAAACAGAATAAACAGAGTTAGAGAATCATGGACCTGGAGGGTCCTCAGCTGGACCCCTCCCCATATCCGTATCTATGAAGCCCCAGACCGGGGGACAGGATTCCTTTCAAGATCCTTGGAAGTTGGGGCGGGTGGGGT